CACCGCCAGCTCCTCAGTCCCTACCCTGTCCTCTGGTTCTAGTTCCCCAGGCTCTGTCCTACTGCAGCTTCAGATTGATTTCAGCCTGTTGCCTCTTCTGTATGGGCCGTTTCAGCAGCCTGGGCTCAGTGGGTTTGATTAAGAACACATTCTGGTGAGCCCTTTGCCTGCCCAGCCCCCAGCAGGGATTTTCAGCATTTCCTCCAGTTCCCAAACAACAGTACCCGAGAGTCTTATTCTTGTAAAGTCCTCCTGTGAGCTGCTCTCCCTTCCCCCTCAGGACTGTGCCCTGTGGGGGTGTCTGGGGCCTCAGTGAGCAGGACCTGCCCCTTTCCTGTTGGGGGCGGTGCTCCCGGCTGCAGGAGAGGCTGGAGGGCTCCGCTCCTCCCTGCTCAGCTCTGGTTCGCTGGTCACAGCAGGCCCCCCCCCTCAGACCGTCTATTGCGAAGACCCCAACCCCAGCCTCCGCTGGTCTGTCTGTGCAGTGCACACTGGGAAGGTGGGGACCAGTTCTGCGATCAAACTCACAAATGCACAAAGCAACACACAGGCAGAGAGTCCGCCCTGCAAGGTCCCGCTGCCCGAGCACCAAGGCACCCAGCCGGAGGGGACCCAAAGTCAGCTCCACGCAGCTCCCCGCACCGCTGGTCTCAGCAAAGCTGGGGGCGGCTTCACGCACCACCACGGCGCCCCTCAGGGCTGGTCACAGATCCCAGCCTCTCGGCACCTGGGAGCTCAGGGCAGGAGGACACCCTCAGGGCTGGTCACAGTTCCCAGCCTCCTGGCACCCGGGAGCTCAGGGCAGGAGGACACCCTCAGGGCTGGTCACAGATCCCAGCCTCTCGGCACCTGGGAGCTCAGGGTGGGAGGGCTCCTCCCCTCCCCCGCACCACGCAGATTCAGCGCTTTCTGGGGCTCAACACAAGGCCCCACAGGGAGGCAGAGGGTCCCCGTGTGCGGCTGCTCAGCGCAGTCCTCTGGTCCCTTACCACTTGGGTGCCACAGACCTTGGGACAGCCTTCCCTATGGTCGGTACGCCAAGCAATAGACACCGGTCGCAGCTGCCACTAGAAGCTTTGTTTCCTGGGAAGGCGCCGTCCGCCCCTAGAGGCTTTGTTTCCTGGGAAGGCGCCGTCCGCCCCTAGAGGCTTTGTTTCCTAGGAAGGCGCCATCTGCCATTAGAGGCTTTGTTTCCTGGGAAGGCGCCGTCCGCCCCTAGAGGCTTTGTTCCCTGGGAAGGCGCCGTCCGCCCCTAGAGGCTTTGTTCCCTGGGAAGGCGCCGTCCGCCCCTAGAGGCTTTGTTCCCTGGGAAGGCGCCGTCCGCCCCTAGAGGCTTTGTTCCTAGGGAGGCGTCAACCCCTCCAGGACTCACCGCTCCCCGGGGTCCCTCTGCTCTGTGCGCGGGGCGCTCCTTCCCCTCTTGTCGCTCCAGGTGTGGGATCCCCATTTTTGGATGCCGGTCCACACTCCCAAGGGGAGGGAGCTTTGCAGCCTCCAAGCCTCGGGGTTCGGCACCCAGCACAGGCTTCAGGTGGGACTCTCCCTTCCTACGCCCCCTCTCTTACTGGACTCCGTGATGTTTCTTCAGTGCTCCCCACTCGCACTCTGTCCACTCAGGTATGTTTCTCTGGTTTTTCCCAGCTGGCTTCATAAGATTTTAGGAATAAATCGAGGCCATGGCTAGGAGCAGGGGCCTCTGCTGCTTCTCACAGGGCTGCCATCTTCCCTTCCTAGTTTCATTTTTTTGCATGCACCTGACCAATTTTCCCAACACCACTTATTGAAGAGACTCTTTACTCCACTGTATGTTCTTGCCTCCTTTGTCAAATATTAATTGACCATAATGATGTGAGTTGATTTCTGGGGTCTCTATTTTGTTCCATTGATCTATATGTCTGTTGTACCAAAACCAGGCTGTTTTGATTACAATTGCTTTGTAGTATAGTTTGATATCTGGTAAAGTGATCCCTCCAACTCTCTTTTTTCTCAAGATTGCTACAGCTATTCAAGGTCTTTTTTGGTTCCATATAAATTTTTGGAATATTTGTTCTAGTTCTGTGAAATATGCTGTTGGTATTTTAATAGGAATTGCATTGAATCTATAGATTGCTTTTGGTAGTATGGACATTTTAATGATGCTAATTCTTCCAATCCATGAACATGGTATATTTTTCCATTTGTTTATATCTTCCTCTATCTTTTTCAGTGTCCTGTAGTTTTCTGAATACAGGTCTTTTATATTTTTCATTAAGTTTAATCCTAGGTATCATTTTTTTAGTTGCAGTTGTAACTGGTACTTGTTTTATCAGTTTCTCTTCCTGAGAGTTCATTATTGATGTATAAAAATGCTGTTGATTTTCAGGTGTTAATTTTGTATCATGCTACCTTTCTGAATTCATTTATTAAATCTAGTAGCACTTTGGTGGAGTCTTTAGGGTTTTCTATGTACAATATCATGTCATCTGTGAATAATAAAAGTTTTACTTCCTCCTTTCCAATTTGGATGCCTTTTATGTTTTCTTCTTGTCTGATTGCTATAGCAAGGACTTTCAGTACTATGTTGAATACCAGTGGTGAAAGCAGACCCCAGTGTCTTGTTCCTGTTTTTAATGGAAATGGTTTTAGTTTGGGCCCATTGAGTAAGATGTTGGCTGTAGGTTTTTCATATATGGCCTTTATTATGTTGAGGTATGGTCCCTCTATTCCCACTTTGCTGAGAGATTTTATCAAAAATGGGTGCTAGATTTTGTCAAATGCTTTTTCTGCATCTATTGATATGATCATATGATTTTTGTCCTTCATTTTGTTTATGTGATGTATCACATTTATTGATTTGAGAATATTATACCAGCCTTGCATCTCTGGAATAAATCCCACTTCATCATGGTGTATGATTTTTGTAATGTATTGCTGGATCCAATTTGCTAATATTTTGTTGAGGATTTTAGCATCTATGTTCATCAGGGATATTGGTCTGTAATTTTCTTTTTTCGCAGTGTCTTCATCTGATTTGGGGATTAATATAATACTGGCCTCATAAAAAGAACTTGGGAGTCTTCCCTCCTCTTGAATTTTCTGGAGTAGTTTGAGGAGTATAGGTGTTATTTCTTTTTTGAATGTTTGGTAAAACTCACCTATAAATCCACCTGGTCCCAGACTCTTGTTTGCTGGTTTTTTTGATTACTGCTTCAATTTCATTGGTTGTATTGGCCTATTCAGGTTTTCTGATTGAGTTTTGGAAGATTGTATGTTTCTAGGAATTTGTCCATTTCATCCAGGTTGTCCAGTTTGTTGGCATATAGTTGCTCATAGTATTTTCTTTCCTTTTTTTTTTTTCTTTTTTTTTTATATCTTTATTGATTTCAGAGAGAGGAAAGGAAAGGGAGAGAGAGAGACAAAAACATCAAAGATGAGAGAGTCATTGATCGAGCCCGCAACCCGGGCATGTGCCCTGACCGGGAATCGAACCCTGATCACCTGGATCCCAGGTCAACGCTCAACCGCTGAACCACGCCCAGCCTGGCGCTCATAGTATTTTCTTACAATTCTTTGTATTTCTGTGGTCAGACGATGATTCTTAATACCTTCCAATGCAGATGAAATATATCAAGCAAATGAAGAAAAAAACTAACATAAGTGACAATGACTTATTTTAATATTTAAAGGCCCAGCAGGGACTTCTATATAAAAATTAAAAATTTTAAATGAGTCTTCAGCAGTCAGTGCAGTAGTCTTTGATTTGGTGCCATTAAAAATCAGGATGTGCCAGACTTCACTCCTATAATGGTGGTGGAAGGGGTGCTTCAATCCCATCCTCCTTGTTTAAACTCTTACCTCTACCTGAGTCTGGCAGCTCAAATAATGTGCACACTAATTAAATCTTCAATAGAGGGGGAAGGGAGGGAGCCTGGTGAGAACCCAAATCGCTTTAATCTTTTCTGGGGAATATGAAGAGTTAACGCTTTACCAATCTAATCTCTAAAAAAATCCTTCAGGACTCAGCCCTGCAGTGCTAATTGATTGATGTCATTTATAAGTAATCTAATAATGTTGAATAATGTATTTTTAAATGGCAAGTGTTGAAAATATAGAGTCACACTAATCTATATCTAGTGAAGAATATATTTGTGATTATCAAATATACAATTTCAGGTCAGGATTGAGTTTTGATTTGTTTGTTTTTCAAACAATCTTCAGATACTTCATTTTAGTACTTACAATGAAGTAAATTTAGGACAAGATTAATTTTAAGCCAGTGGATGAGGCTGGATTATGAATTTGTCATTCCACAAATATATGCCCATCACTGTACAGCTGGTAGGAGACACAGTGGAAAACAGAGAAATGGCGCTTGCCCTCCCTCAATGAGTTTCCACTCTAGAGAGAAGACTGACAACAAACAAGTAAAGACATACACAAAATAATTTCAGACTGTGATTAATAAAAATTAATAGTAAATTTACTCTCAGTTTTCACATCACTTTATAGCTCTTTGAACCAGTCACAACAGCCTATGAAACATACATTGATATATATTATTCAACAACTTTTTTCTTGATCCAGTCTGTGTTAGTTCATGCTTCATTTTTAAAAATCTTCATGAAGAATGATTTAGCATTACTTCATCATTTTTTCACCAGAGGAACTATATTATCCACCTTAGGCTATTAAAAATTCTTTATTACTTTTTTTGTTTATTTCACTTAATATTTTTAAAGCCCTGGAGACAATTTGCAACATCCAAATGCAAGGCCTGCCCTGGCCGGGTGGCTCAGTTGGTTGGAGCATCACCCTATACACCAGAAGGTTTCAGGTTTGATTCCTGGTCAGGGCACATACCTAGGTTGCTGGTTTAATCCCTGGTTGGGGCACTTATGGGAGGCAACCAATCAATGTTTCTCTCCCCCCCCCCCAAATCAATAAACATATTGTCAGATGAGGATTTAAAAAAAACAAACAACCCAAGGCCTTACAAATAAGCCAGAAGTGCAGTTTCTCACCACTCATGAGACATCCTTCCCTTGCTAGTAGATCAACACCTGTTCTTTCTGGTTCCTAGAGAAAGACAGAATAAGGGGGAAAGTCAGTGTTCCATCTCTATGTCTAAGCAGTGCCAGCACACAGACGAAGACACAGAAGACAAAAAGCTGCATTAAGGATACAAGATGGCCCAACCAACTCCTCTAGGGACAACAGTCTTAGAATTGCTGCCCCTCCCCTCCCCTCCCCCAGGCTCCATATATCTCTGACCCCTTCCCTGCAGTGCCAGCTTTCCACCCAGCTTCCCTAAGGGCACTGCTTGCTTCTGATGCAATCTCATTGTCATACTCCAGGGTCATGACATAATATCAAGTAACAGCTGCTTTTGGTATATTATAGAGTGACACCTAGGAAGCTACTCAACTAAAAATAAACAAAAAACACTGTAGGTACACTCAGTCCATCTTGGATTATCTTGTTTAATAGTATTTCAATGTACTGAAATGCCCTCCATCTATTACATTGTTATATAGATATTTGTGTGCCGTCATTTGTCTCTCACTCTAGGGCAGGGACTTCCTTCTATATAGGCACATGGAAAACATTGATGGATAACCTCTTGTCTATTAAGTATAAATTAATCTTCCCAGGGCTCATTTCTAGTGTCATTTTGTTCTGAATGCCCTCAATGTTATTATTATTAATAATAATAAGAGCACTTAGATTTATTAGGTATTTGTAATGTACCAGGTGTTATTCTTTACATTATTGCTCATGCTCACAACAGCCTCCACGTTAGTTATTATTATCCCTCTTTCTGTAGTAGAAGAAGCTACCCAAGGGCATACAACTGGACAGAAACTCCTACATTTGTCTGCCTCTCTTTGGAAAGGTCTGAAGGGAGTCTGTCAAGGTTTTTGCTCCTGCATAGGTTGGGGACAATAAGGCAGGAAAGATTCTATGTCCTGGCTATTACATGGGACACATTAAGGCACAAGTTTAAGAGATAGGCAACTTTTAAAACCTCTGTGTTTTCTGCGGGATATTTATGAGTCAAGAATGAAATAGCCACCTGACTGGCATGGCTCAGCAGTTGAGCATTGACCTATGATCCAGGAGATCCCAGTTCGATTCCCAGTCAGGGCACATGCCCAGGTTGCGGGCTCCATCCCCAGTGGGGGGCGCGCAGGAGGCAGCCAATCAATGACTCTCTCATCGTTGATGTTTCTATCTCTCTCTCTCCCTCTCCCTTTTTCTCTCTGAAATCAATAAAGACTATATATAAAGAAACAGCAAGTGTCAGAGTGTAAGAACTATAATCAATGCTATAGGACTCAGCAGAAACAGATTAAACAGAGAAGGGAGAGTTCCAATTTAGGCTCACCCTTTCCAAAGTAGACAATAACAGAGCAATAAACTGACTGCCAACCACAGGTTTAAAGAATGTGATGGATGACAGGACCAACCCTCTCTGACAAACTCAACCTTGTCCCAGACTAATTTTTAAATACTTCTGCTTTATTGGGTAGTATTATTAACCTTGCTATTATAGAATAAACTAGGGTTTCAGTCAGAGGATGTCTGGGGGCGGCTTAAGTATGGTTCTCCATTCTGTTCCTCTCTCCCACTCTCTCCTCAGCACCACTGCCTGCAAATCAGCCTAAAATAGTCCAGCTCCCATTGGTAGACTTCATGCAAGTCTACAAAGTCCTTTCACAAACCTTATGTCATTTAACCTTGTGAAGTAAGTATTATTAGTAGCCCCATCTTAAATAGGAAGATGGTTCAGAGAAAAGTTATGACCTACTTCAAATCATACTTCCAAGAAGGACCAGAGTCAGAAGTTGGTCCAAGTTTTCTGGGTCTTCTAATTTAGAAGGAGACAAAGTGAAGGCTCGCCAAAGAAAAGGGGCCATGTTGTTATCATTTACTCTACCTTATCTCAGACTTTAGGATTAAAATTAATAATAATGTATTGGGTTTAATGGTGTCCTACCATTAACTCTACCCACCTCCAACAAAAGCACATCTCAGTCCCACAGGACTATCCCTTTAATATCCTATAGTTTAATTTCATTCATGAGCATTTATGGAGAATATTGCCTTCATCAGTTTCTGTCTCCCCGGCCCCCACAAGATTTATAGATAATACACATGAGTATTAGTAAATGTTAGGTGTGTACATGAGAGAGAGAAATCTTCCTACATGTCCAGTGTAGCCTGGGATTGATTTTCAATGCTTAGTTATGAACTTCTCAGGAAGGTAGCTTCTTTAAAACACATATGAACGTCGAGTACTAGTGTCATTTTGTCATTTAGTCTCTACAACATGGGTGATAGTACTCAATCTCATTCTCAATGAACACAGCTTCTGATCACTCAGAAGTGAGAAGAATTTGAAATTTCTGCAAACACTATTCAGGCTAATGGTCAATAATTCAAGAAGCAATTATCCAGTTTGTGGATATTCTGTGTTCCTACACTACCTCCCTTGTAGCCTACTTGGCATTTTCACCATTTATTATCATCTCCTACAGAATGCAAAGAGTGGAGATGAAATCCAAAATAAAATTTTAATAAATGATTATTAAGCACCTACTTTGTGCCAGACACTTATATATAGGTAAGAGAGTCCTAAGTGAATAATATATGAATTCTGTGGGTTGCTGTGATAAACTCTGCATTAAATATACGTATAAAATGCTATAAAACCCTGGTAAGAAGGCAATTAACCATGGAAAGGAAGAAAGAATGTGAAAGCAACAGGGGGTGGAGGGGGATGACATTTCTGCTAGGACTTGAAGAAGTTGAAGTCCAAGAGGAAACAGGGAGTAGGAAAAGGAAGGAAACAGGATGAACAGGGAATAGCAGGAGTGAAGGTAGTGGGTTTAGAAATACCCATGTGCTCTGAGAACAGTTAGCATTCTGGTGTGGCCCAAATGAATAGAAATGAATAGTGAAGGATGATACTGGGATGATTTCATGAAGGGCTATGTGGTGATAAACATATATCCTGGTTTGCCTGAGTCAGTCCCAATTTATGGTTACTATATTAGTGTAATTATTATAGCACCCCCTTTTACTCTCAAAAATATCTTAGTTTATGGCCATATGTATCAATCTAAGACACATATGTCACCACTTTCCCCACCTTCATCCATACAGACTACTAAATTATCAGGCTGCAAGTTCCTGGTGAAGCCTGGACTTGTCTTCAGAATCCTACTGAAAGGATCACTCCAAACAGCCACAGAGCTTGGAACTGGACCTACATATGTCTGCTATGCTATGGGCCAGAGAGGTTGCAAACTGGCAGCTCATAGGCTATATCTGGATTGCATTTGTATTTTGTTTGGCCCACTCAGGACTTTTTAAAATTCTGAGCCATTATATGCTAGTATGAGATTTAACTTAGAAATCTGTATTTCTGGCTTTTTTTTTTTTTTTTTTTTTAGAGATGGAAAATTCCAGCAACATAGAACTCGTGGTCTTCTATGGAATAATTGGCTGAAGCTGAAGGTAAATACCATCATTTTGTCCCATAGCTACCTGTTGACCTTAAAAATTAAACAGCCAGCCCGGCCAGGTGTGGCTCAGAGGTTGAGCATTGACCTAGGATCCAGGAGGCTGCAGTTCGATTCCTGGTCAGGGCACCTGCCGGGGTTTGTGGGCTTGATCCCCAGTTGGGGGCGTGCACGAGGTAGCCAGTCAATGACTCTCTCATCATTGCTGTTTCTATCTCTCCCTCTCCATTCCTCTCTCTGAAATCAACAAAGATATATAAAAAAAAAAAAAAAAAAAAATTAAATAGCCAGTTCTTTTTAACCAGCAAAAATGGGTTTATTAGGGAATAGCAGAGAATTACAATTCAGGACAAGCACGTTGCAGCAATAACTATAGACAAGTCCAGCAAACAAAAGAAAGGGACAATATGGAGAAAAAGGAGGAAGTGAAGCCTTCAGCTAGCAGTTATGTGAGTAGCCTTATTGAAGTGGATCCTCCAGTCAAGTATTCAGATGATTTCTGTCCCCCCATCAACATCTTGGCTGCCACCTCATGAAAGGCCTAAGCCAGAACCACTCATCTAAGTTGATCCCAGATTCCTGACTCTCACAAACTGTGTAAGAAAAAGACTTGTTTTTTTAGCTGCCAAGTTTTGGGGCAATTGTTACACAGCACTATACAACTAACACATCAACACAATTGATTTTCTTGCAATCTACTTGCCTCTACAATTATGTTACCGAGAGAGCATGGCTCTGAAGTCATTTGAAGTTCCATGCCTGCTGTACAGGAAGAAATATTGTTGAGGATTTTAAGCAAGAAAGTGAGATGGTCAGATCTAGTTTTAGGTGTATCACACTGATGTCTCTGAGAAGGGGCGATCAGGAGGGTCAAGACCAAGATCAAGTTTCCTGAAAAGTTCTTAAGTAGACCTTTCAACCTAACACAATGGGCTGTGATATAGAATCATGTCTAAGAAAGTAAGCTCCGGATTTTAGAGACAGAATATGTGAGTTCAAACCCCCATACCACCACTGAAAGATTATATAAATTCGGCATGTTATTTAGCCTTTCAGCTGCAAGCAACTGAATGCCCAGCTAACAATAGCTTTAAAAATTGCTTCTTTTTTTAGATTAGTGGAAATACAAAGTAGGCAGTTGCTGGGGATGATTTAGCTCTTCAACAGCGCCACTGAGATTTCAGGCCCTTTCTACCTTTCAGCTCTGCCTTTCTTAGCATCTTGGCTCCTCGCCTGTGTCTCCAAGATGGCTGTGGCAGCTCCATCATATTTATACCTACGGCAGCTTCAGCCATCACATTTAAACCTAAGGCAGAAAGAAGCGGCAGCAGGCCCAGAGCTTTACTCTGAGTATGTCCCACTTCATCAAGGAAGAAAACAATCTTCCCAGAAGCCCCCAGGAGGCTTCTGTTTACGTCTCATTAGCTAGAACTGGATCACAAAACCACCTTAGCAGTGATGGAGGCTGAGAAAGTGAATGTTTAGTTGGATAGACTGACACCCCAAACAAAATTGGGTTCTGTTAGCAAACAAGGAGGAGGGGAGAATGAA